TATATAAAAAGAGAAGAGTAATTTCTTTTTTTGAAATAAAAATTTCTTTATTTTTTTATTAATATCGTGATCTTATAGAGATAACGACTTTGCTGAAGTATTTAAAAAATAAACTACACAATAAAATTTTATATTTGTATTAAAAGTCCATTTAAATTCTTTTTAAAATTTTGTGTTAAATTGATATTCAACATTTCTCGGAGCAAAATGATACAATTTATGAGCAAATAAACAAATAACGTCAAAATGATGTATTTTAAAATGTAAAAGTTTAAGATAACTAAATAAAATACGTGTTAATTTAATATATTATAAATATTAATTTAATTGAAAAAAAAATGGTTTCACAGTTTGCTTACGAACTATCAGTGTTACATTTTTGTGTTAACTTTTTCATATAATATTTATGTTGTTTCCTAACATAATTACATCTTGTATTAAATTAATACAAAAATTTAATCAGGTCATTTAGGAAATGTAAAATGTATTTTGTAACACAAATTTAAAAACTGTATAGATCCAGAAAAAGAACTATGCACCATCAAAATAATTATGAAGGACTCTTTCAAACTGGTTGCTAAAATATAAAATTTTTTGCAATCTTGCTCTCTCTCTCTCTCTCTCTCTCTCTCTCTCTCTCTCTCTCTCTGATTTATAATCTAATTATTTTGATGGTCCAGCGAAATTATTTCCTGCATCAAGTTAAATTTTTTAATACTTTAACAAAACTGGTTGTGCATCAATCACATTTGTCAAGTTTGAATCACTCGGCTTCGATCAGGTCGTGTTTCTGTCATTGTAAACAGTTTTAATGGTTACAATTAATCCAATCTTCTTGAGTTTCGATCATAACAACCCAGTGTAACGTTAGACAATTTATCGACAGATGTGCGAAATTTGTCATTGTGATTATTACATAAGACGTGACTTGTTATTTACATTCCTACTATGCTCGTGATTAAGTATGACCAAGATTGACTTGCGTTCGTCCGGTACATCTTTTTACGAGATCGAATATCATAAGCCTCTGATGTCTCCTTTTGAAATTCACGGTGATTTCAACTGAAATAATTGTATACTCTATTTATTCTTCTCGTATCCATTAATTTCTCGCAATCATGCTAAGAAAAAATTATAAATAATGTTTATGATGATTGCGAATATATCATAGTAGAGCCGGAACAAGTATTAATTTATGTAAATAAGCCTTATCTGCGTTTATGTAAAAAAAAAAAAAAAACTTTGCTAGATCTTACGTAATTTTGTATTTATCGAATCACTGTTGAATTCTGCATAAAGAAGCAGTTTTTTTCCGCATGATATTACTAGTTTTCTTTCAAAGTGTAATCACCTGCACTGTCACATATTAAAAGAATAGTGTCACAACATCACAACACATAATCCATTGATTAAATAACATTTTGTCATATTTGACTTTCAATAATAAGTTAGAAACAAGACATATGGATAAATCGATTAAATAAGAAGTAGCGCCGAATATAGTCATAGATGTGAGAAACACAATTCTATATATTTATTTTTAGATACATTTTTTTCAGATATATAACTGCGCACCGATTATTTTCTAATAGTTTCTTTTTAAACCAACGATCAAACCAACGATTTTTGATTATATTTTTTTTAAATCAATCATCAAATTTAATTTAAGATTATTATTATTTTAATTTGATTATGTTGTAATTCCGAAAGTAATTAGCGCGCAGCCATATATTTGAAGTAAATATATCTAAAATAAATTACATACAGAAATTATTATTCCAACATTTAACTTTGACAACATTTGATGTTTCTTATTTAGTTGTTTTTACTTTCATGTGTATAAATCAATTATTTCTGTGGTCTCTTTCAAAATAAACAACGTCCATATTAATATGCACTTACAATTAGCACGTCCTTTATAGTAAATAATAAATTTAATTTAATATAAAACTAAATTTCAATCAAATTATTAAATTCCATTATTTTAGTTTTAATTAAATTAACATCATACCGAGTAGAAACAGTGGCAATCTATAGAAGTGATAAAAATAACTCAAATTGGATGTAAATTGATATGATAAATTTAATAGTATAAATGACGCGTACTTTCTTTCCCATTTTTGTATTTACCAACAAAGAACAGTTTTGCTGAAACATTCAAAAATTTAAATCTGAAAAATTAGACTACCTAAATAATTATAAAGGAAATACGATGAGCATGCTGCAAAAAATTTTGACCTTCCAGCATCCAGTTGAAGCATTCCGCATAATTATTTCAATCGAATAACATTTATTTGCAGACCTGTATCTAATTAGACCGTTTAAGGTATTGATTTTTATAAGTTCTCACATATGTGGTTTTATAAGACGTTATATTATAAATTTTTTAGATATTTCCGTAAAACTGTTCTTTCCATAAATGAACGATCAGTAATACCGATGTATATATAATATTAACTCCGGCAAATATTTGATATTCATCAGACACTGCATTCTAAAAAAATATTGGTATAAATTTACCACGCAGTATCTATATAATTCTCACCGTGTTGGTGTTAATTAATATTCACGCCAACATAATGTGGTCGACGTGGATTTATAACTCCTGGTATTTATATCAACACCATCATGGTGTAAATTTAAAACCCACGAGCTAAATCCACACTATGTTGATATTAAATATTTATAATAATATTAAAAGAATTATGTACATCTCGCGTGGTATTAATTAAATCTACACCTACATTTTTTTAGTTGGTGTCGATGGCACGATAAATATCTCGTAGAACAAGAGTCGAAATCGGAGCTACTGGCCACACTTGAGGGACGCTTTGGCCTCGGAACATGGGACTTGGAATTTTATTTTTCTCTCGGCGAAGGCCGTTTTGTGCACGTTTCTACGATTAAATACGCTTCCTCAGCGCAAGACGTTCAAGCGATATCCCGCTTTATCGGCGCGGTGTTTATTTCATGAGCGCGTTTCGCGATACGGGGCGTTCAATAACCAGGCGGACGCTAGTCAGACGTGAATATTTGCGAATAGTTCGAATCGTCGCGACAAATTTCGCGAGAAGCAAACGGCGATTGTATATTGTTCGACAAATTAGTACGTTAATTGGCAAGTTCTTCAGCGGTCGCCTTGGGAAGTAAATAACAAGATATAAATGTGCGCGTTCGTCTCGCTGGCGGGAAATGTGAAAGATCAACTTATGAAAGATTAATCAACAGTGATTATATCTGTGAAAAAAATGTTGCGCAGTAAAAGCAATTCCAGAATAAAAACACAAATCGAGAATTTTCATTTTGTTACCTCGATTCAGATTAACGATTATACGTACGATAATTATATTACAGTAGAGTCTCTCTAAATTTGGCGATAAGAGTGGAATGCCAAAAATTACAGAGTACCCTCTCTACAGAACGAGTACTACCAATCATCGCGTACTTGCGCAAACGCAGTTGCGCATGCTAACCTGTCAAAGTGCATTACAGTGTACATAACCTTAGCAAAACAAGTCATATCACGTATTACGTATCACAAAAGAATACATTACACAAATAGTTATAGATAACCTGCCTATGGAATTACATTGCATACACTGTGAGAACTTAGTACAATTAGGTGTAGTTGCGCGCGCAACACATGTCCAGCCTACCATGAAAACATGGAAGGGGCATGACATTTAATGTTTGTAAAAGTACATGTGAGGAATGCAAAGATTACAGAAGTCAAATTTCGAGACTCTACTGTACGTACAATGAGGAAAAATGTATTAAATTTTAATAATTATTCGTTTAAATACTACTATCTGAATGTTTACTAATTGCAAATATTTATTTTATGTGTTCGATACAAGAATCATTGATTTGATTCAATTGTCATTTTTTTATTTAATAAATTTATTTAATATAAATATTCATTTACCATAAATAAATATTAAGTTCGTATATACTGTTCAAGTAAATCTTTATTGAAATTTAGTTTCTCATTTTCTCTGAGTGTTTTTTTTTTATAAAATAAAAAAATGATTTAAATATTCCAGATTTTTCTATATTGCATTTGAAAGTAATTCGAACAGTTTAGCGATGATTTAGAAACCTGGATAAAAAACTATTTTAATTTGAAATGTTTTTAATAAATAACATTAAGATAACATTTTTATTTAAACTATAAAATTATATTATTAAACGTAAATATTGAATTGTTTCGTACGACATTTATTTTTATACGGAAAGTATAAATTATTATACAATTCTAAACACTTTTTGCAGAAACTGTTATGCACTTATACATTTTTGAACTATAGAATGCTTTTGCTGAATTATCTAAACATTTAACTAGAT